CCCCAAACTTGGCTGAGTTGGTGCGACATCATCATCATCATCATCTTGCTATTTTAGCCGCTGTCTGCAGCATGGGGCTGGAGCTGGTTTTGTAGCCGGTTGCTCCAGTGCTGGCTGCTTGGGAAAAACCTGGGTTTAAATTCCCGGGAGGATGAGGGAGGCTGGGTGGGAGGGATTGGAGGGGATCCCTCCTTCCGAGGGCCCTGCCCCAGAGCAGCACCCCAGTCTGTGCCGTGGGGAGCTTTCCCCAGCTTCTCTCCTGCCCGCGGTGTCGCTCCTGCTCCCGGCCCTGTCTCAAACCTTGTGGGTGACCTTGGAAAATACGTCCCTCCCCTCCAGGCCTCGGTTTTCCCTGCAAAGGGCCGGGATGAGCCGGTGCCGGGGGTGGGGGGTTGTGGTGTGGAGAGGTGATGGAGCCGGGTCCTTGGGTGGGCAGCACTTCCCACCTGCAAAAATCCCCATTTCCCAGGATGCTGACCTGGAGCACCGCGTGTGCGCAGGGATTGGCACAGGATCCTTGCGGCACTGGCTATTATTAATAGGAAACTATTTTGGTATCTAATAGGATAAAGTAAATCCTTGGCTCGTTAGTGCTGTGACAAATGACTTGCTAATTACAAATAAAGACCTCCTCAGGAAGCATTGCAGCCAGCACAGCCCCTGTTCTTGTCCCAAAAACCTGTGTTTGGCTTGATTTATTATTGTTACTTGAATTTGAAGCTAAAATGGGCTGGCACACCTGTGGAGGTGCAGATTAACGGGGACACTGCAGGGTGATGATGGCTGATCCTCAGCAGTGGGGCTACACCTGCTCCCCTTTTTCCATGGATTCAAAGCCTTGGTCACCTTGATGCTGGCTGAAGCTGGACCACCCCATCCTGGATTTGCTCTTTGCAGGGGCTGTGGCTCTGCATTAAGGGGTTTTGTCTTGAGCCCCCTGAATAAGGGGTTGTTGAACTATCTGGGTGTGGAGGGTGGAGGTGTTAGTGCTTTGCAGCTCTAGGGGAGCAATTGCACGCATCTGAGCACTTCCAAACTCCTCTCAGCTGCAAAGGATGCAGTGCTGATGCTTGGCTCTGGCTTTCAGGGGGAAGCCGGGGCTCTTGGGGTGCTCAGGGGGGTTGGTCCCACCGATGGGGTGAGGGCAGAGCTGGGAGGATGGTCCTGGGGTCCTCAGGGGGAGGTGCCCGGGTGCCCTGGGATGCGCCAGGGCGAGGGCAGGCTGGTGACCGTGGGAGATTATGGCTCTTAATCCAAGCGGGGATTTGCCTTCTGTGCTACCGGCAGCCGGGGGGGAGTGCCGGGAGCGGGGCGGGATTGGAGCGGAGCCGATTCCTCCTGGCAGCGGCGCTCCTCTCGCCTCGAATGCCGCATGGAAACAGCCGCTGGCTTTGGGAATGTGGCCCTGGTGGGAGGGTCTCATAGGACCCCAGGGTGTTCCCTCCTCTCTCTGCGGATGTGGCTTTGGCTGCTGGGCTGCAGGCTCTCTCGGGATGGTTGGTGCAGCCCATGGGAATAGGGCAGCTATGTCTTGTCCCAAGCGAGCATCTCCCCTGCATTGTTCTGGGGTCCCATCCAGGCTGGAGGCAAATGGGATCAGTTAAACCAGTATTTTGAAGCAAAGGCTGGGATTTACTTAGTGATTCTAATCTTGTGCTGGTAAAGGCAAGAGGGAGAGCAAAAGGGGGCTGTTTATGTAGTCTGGCTTGGGGCAAGTCTTTGGCTTCCAGCCCCTGTCCCTGGCTGAGGTTGTCACCGGGAGGAGGGAACAGGAGCAAAGGGCTTGGCCATGCAGTGACACCCCGGTCCCGGGGTCACCACACCAGGGTGGTGGCACTGCCATGGCACAGGAGCAGCTCTGGGGCTGTGATGGGT